GTATTTAGAATACCTTGTTGAAAAATGAAGGAATAACATTTTTTGTTTGAATGTATGATGTACAAGGACAATAATGAACATAAGCATACTGGGTAGTTGATTGGTGGGATTATACGTAATTGAAAACATATAAACATATACAAATATAAATGGTTGGTAAATCTTTTTCATATCGGGATATGTGATTATATAAAGGTATATTGTTATTAAACAGACAATCAAGAATGTAAGGGAATTAGGTTTATTGGAAAAAATATTAATTGTAATTGAATATGTGTTGTACAATGAAAGTGAGGTATCTGGTTATATTAGATGAAAAATCTGTGATTGTAAATGTATTTGAGAATATGGATGTAAAAACACTTGTAACCAAACGACATGCTGTATGTTTTTTTTAATGTTTTAAAAATAAAAACAAATTGCAAAAAAAAAGGTCACTAAACACAAGGTCGTAAATGGACGACTATTGAAATGTACTCATCAAAAAGAATATAAGTTTAAAAACAAATAGTGTGGGTTCAGCAGCCTGTTAGAACTGAAAATACAAGTGAATTGATCTCTGGCAGTAATCTTTTATGGGTCTCCTGGAAGCATTCTGGAGATCCTTCAAGGTACTTTTGAAAATATTATCTAGGAAAAAATTACCTCAGTCCTCAAAGTAACTCTTTTGGGACAGCATATCTTTCCAGCTTTTTCTTCCTACTCTTTCAAGTTGCTCTTCTGGATTCAGTGTTTCAGCACAAACTTTTCTACTTCTTTTTCATGTCGTTCCAGTATTGCTGGTTCCATCTTTTTCTCTCTGTGCAACTTTTACCTCATCTGTCAGATGTGAACTGAAATCCTTGTGGGATTATGCATCCCAAAATTTCTGTCTTGTCAATGATGTCTTAATGTCACATGCTATTGCATCCATATGGTTTATTTCAAAGATGTTTCCTTTAAAAAGCCACGTTTCATCTTATATAATTTGGTTTCAAAGGAATGGATTTTTTTTTTTAAAGTGGCACTGAAAAATAAATAAAATAAATGTCCTTGAAAATAAATGGCTCTTTTAAATAAATGGTACTGAAATACTGTATCAACATTGCAGAAAAATCAGAAAAAATCAGCATTGCAGAAGGAAATCAGTATCATTATTACTCAAAAACAATGCTAATGGTAGGAAATATAACAGTGACTAACACATTATTTTCTGCTATTTTTAGGTTTTAATAAAAAAGAATGAATTTATTTGATTTAGTTTTTCCACATTTCCAGGGAAGCTAGAAATAAAATGACCAACTTTAAAAAAGGAGAAAGAAAAAAGTTATGTTTCTTCCCTCTGAGTGGCCTTGATACAGTCTTTTTTCTCTCCCCCACATCTATCTATCTATCTATCTATCTATCTATCTATCTATCTATCTATCTATCTATCTATCTAT